GGACGGTTTTTTTATTGTGTTCTGTCAATCTGGTTTCCAATTTTCTTCCTGTTTCTCCTGTATTTAAGTGTTTTACACTAAAAAAAACAAACCTATCATTCTATAGGTATTTGAAGAACTTGTAGCATTCTGCCATAATTTAATTTTTCGTATTGTTAGCCGACACTGGGCAGCTGGTACATAATTGAACAGAGTTGTTTAAACATTTGTTTAACAACAAGTCTTTTCTAAATCTTAAAGTTGTGTCTTCTCATTCCTACCCTCTTCAGTGTACACCATAAAGAAATCGGAGTTCTTTGTTCTGTTGATCTCCCTAATAATGTCATAAAATTCAATAAGAATCACCTGTCACCCTTCTATTCTCAAGAGAAAATTGGGACAAGTTTGGGTTCATCAAACTGTTACAAGTAGTATTTACTTAAAATACCAGGAATATATGTTTGGCGGCAGCTAGATTTGCACAGGTCACCAACTCGAGGAATTTTATATGATGATAGTAGAGCAAAATAAGCACTTATTTAATTTTATAGAAGAAATTACAGTTACACAATTAATGCTCGATATCTTTGAAAGCTTCAGTGAATCACTTTATTATTTTTACTTAAAAAAAAACTTAATTAGCTCTATTACATCCACTTTCAAACATTTGTTTAATCATCTTGTTACTTCAACTAAAGCTTTTTGTTTCTTATAAATTATTAGTCAGTTAAAGATTTAAACCATAGGTAAATTGCTGATGGAAGAGCTGAACCTTGATCCATTGTGGTAGCTAAAGGCAGGGCAAGTTCTGAGAGTCTGATGTAAAACCTATGTTATGGAGGAAGACATGACTTAATACTAACTTATGGCTGACTAGTTTGGACTTGACAGCTCTTATATTGACCTCTATAAGCTGTAGTCTCATTTGATTCTTACAAACTGTCTAATATTAGTCCACCAGTTTATGTTTGTTTTCTTAAGAACATGTAACATACAATGAACTTAAGGTGATTATCAAGTTGTATTTCTCTCTGTAAGATCAGATAACAATATCATCCTTCCATTGTTTAGTCTACCACATATTTCTCTAGTCTCTATTTTGGTATTTGATATCTAAGTTACTTCAGTCTTCATTTCAACCTAGAACTCTCTCAATACATATTTCATTACTTTGACTGTCACTGTATAACCTAAGGTTTCTGTTTTCCAGCTCACTAGCATGCTCCAAGTATCCAGCGTAAGTTGCAGACTGTGAGAACTGATTCTTCTGTGTTGATTTAAAGGCATTTTTTACTTATACTGACAAAAATGTTTACCACAATGTTATTTGAAATGATTGGTAAGAATAACTAAAATCATTACTCGTATCAGACAGAAATATTAATATACTATCTTCTTTAATTAAAGTGGAATAATAAACAGATGCACCCTGTCTCAGGATGAGGGGGCTGTACAGTATGTTCCTGAATTTTTTCTAGAATGAACACAAATTATAACATGAAAACATTTATGTATAGATGAAATAGTTTAAATCGTATAACATTTTACA